AACTTTGGACCAGCTGGGTGTTCACGTAAAAAGACAATTTCATATTGTTTCTCTAAAGAAAGTTCCATTTTTCAAGCAAAAGTTTGATGATGATCTAAATTTTTTTTTTTGTATCATCGACACTTATAAATTTACAGGTGATCATATATTGTATTATATTATATTTCTGGAAAATTTAAGGGTAGTTATATAATAATTTTAGATAATTTTGGGTGGTCGGATACTTATGACCGCTACTGTAACTAGATGATAATGTCTTGACACCTTTACTTACTTTGCTGAAATATTTATAATAATTACGTATATTCGATGAGGGTTAAAGATTTATTTTTCAATTCTTTTTTGTGTGGAACAGTAGGAACTTTCATTTTAGTCTCAAAATTTCACTTGTATTCCAGAAAAGTGATCTCGTTTATACTCTTATGCTCTTTTTTCTTTTTTCTCTCAAGTTCAAAAAAAAGTGATACTCTAAGGTATAATTAACTAAAACATTCAAGTTAAATTCTAATATTCAGTTACCTAGTTCACACACTCTATGACTGATCACGTTTTTTATTGTAGAGCAATAGTTCTTTAAACCTATTTATGTTCTATTTACGTCTTAATATAATAAACCATATAATAGTAATAATTAATAAAATAAGTAATATATATACTGATAAAGGTGTCATTAAAGTACTTGCTACAATAAGGAGAGGCAAAACCTTGAGACTAGGTCTCATCACTTCTATTCCTTCCATTGAAATCTAAGAATATGATTCAATCAATGAGGATATATTATTATCCCTTTGTGCAAGATATGATGTTACATTTTCAGATATAATCTGTAATACATTAGATTTTATTGGCATATTATTCTTACTAATATCACTAATACTAGTTTCATTTTTGGTAGTTCAGTAATCTCACTATTGATTTTTTTTATTGGATCCATATTTTTTCTGTGTACAAAATATTTACTGAGATTAGTACTACCCAAAGATATATTATCAGACTTAATAATATTTTTTTCATCATTTTTACCAACTACGGGTTTCGATATAGCCTCTGATTTTAGACACTTAAGCTCATTGATTTTCAATTTCAATTTGTTCTTTAAATTTTCTTTTTGTAGAATATGGCTTAAATTCTGAATTTTTTAAAGATATATCTTTCGGTAAGTTTTAGGCAGGTGAAGCTTTTCATTAAAGAAAAAATGTTACTAACATTCTTTTTCCTTCCTTATTCTTTTGTAAGAACAGCTTCTAGGAACTTTTTGATCTTTGAATTTTGAAAATAAGTTTTGAATAAGATGAACTCTTCTTTTAGAAAAAATGTAACTAATATTTTTTTTTATTCTTTTTTATAAAAATGGCTTCTAAAAACCTTAGATCATAGAATTTCTTGACTTGTTTGTATTTCACAAAACATGCAATTTAAATTATGTAAAGAATAACTAGATTTTTAATCATGGCTGACCAGGGGTAGGCCTTAATTAGAAGTAATATATATATTTTATTTAATATTTATAAGTATCTTTATTAAATTTGCTGAAATATTTATTACATATGTATAGATTATGAACATGTTGCCATTAAACATCTGCTGATTGCTGTATATGCTTGATCAGATGTAAATAGTTGGCTAAGATCTATTGAAATAGAATATAAGGTAAGACCCTGTATTTTATGAACTATTAAAGAAATGAGTTTTATAATGGAAACTGTATTCTAGATGCATGTTGACCTCCTAAATAAAAGTAGGATGTTTCTCTTGTAATCCATCTTTGAATAATTGCACCATGTACACAAAATGCTATTTATATACTTGGTTGTTGTTTATCTATACCAATAGTTCTATTGCATATACCTTCTTTTATTTTATTATTAATTAGAAGTAGGTTGCAAATTGTGTTGTTGATTTATTTTGATGTTTTACAATATTCAATAATGTGTTGTTGTTAATAATGAATCTGAAGATTGATTATTATTATAATTTGTAGTTTTTTCTATAAATTTTGTTCAGGTTGCATTTGATATTTTTTCAAATCTAATTTCTTCCAAAATTTTATAAAATTCATTATTTTCATTATGTCTTTGGGAATTATACAAAAATAAAGGATGAAATAATTACCATACTGATGAATAAAATACAGCTTCATCTCTTGCTAGTAGAAGTTGTGTCAAATTACCTGTAATTATTATACAGATACCTCTAAATGCTATATCAAAATTGGGAATTCTAGCAAATAAATCAGAAATAAAATTAAATAATGAAGCAGAAACCATTGATATTTTATCTATAGTTAATATTTGAATTTTCTGTAATTTTTTTTTAAATTCAAAATCATAAAAAGCTTTGATAGCCTGATTCTATTTGTCTATTCTATGTGTAAAATAAATAGTAAATCCTCTAACATTTTGTGCAGTTATTCCTATTGGTGTTATTAAAAGATAAGTTTTTTTTTTTGATTTTTTAGATTGTGATATTGGTTCAAGAGTAGATATAATTGTATTATATACAATGTATTATTTTTTTGGTAAGTTTAACATTGCATTTGGCAAAAATGTTGATGGTATTAATTTTAAATTATCTAATTGTTTGGTAAGAATTTTTGATATTTGTGAAGTAATTTTGCCTTCAAGATTTTCTAATATGTTAGTTATAATTGTGTTAAATTGATTTTGTAATGAATATCTATTTTCTCATACTATTGTATTTATAAAATTTTGAATTAAATTCTGAAAATCTGAATGTAAATTTAAATATTTTTCTCAATAAAATGTAAAATTACTAAGTAATTTATCTTCTGATCTGTAAAGTATTGTTAGAAGTAATTGTTGATAAAAATACAATT